AACACATCCAATCCCCAAACTCCTGAACAATACTTCTTATATACCTCTTTTAGAGATGATAAGAAAGATTTAATTATTTATAGATTGATCAACCCCAATTTTACTAATAACATTCGCTATACTACTAGCAATTCAGATCACCTCGCGCAATCATCCCTCTTCAAGATTTAGTACCCTCTCTATTGGATACACATAAATCTCCTCCATTAGGATCCTCTTCGGCTCCTACTCCTTGCTTGTCTCCTTTTTGAGATTAACTGAAGTCGTGTTGGTCCCGATATGCGGTGACCTATCACGTACACCTAAATCCTTCCTTGGCTTATACTTTTAAAGTAACGCCAAACGAACTTAAACCGTCAATCCTTAACTCTGCCTTCTGGCAACGAAATCAATAACATACTCCTCTACTCCTTTGGGTCTTTATTGCTTTCACCTTGAACCCATTCTTTTTCTAGTGCCAACCATTCTATAACTATAGAATATAATTGACATCAGCTTCTCCTAACAAACCGTAAATAAAGTACAACGAATCCTAATATGGGCTCTAAGAGACGCAACGCGGAAGTCACATAACGAAAGACACTCCTAAGGACACTTGAACCTGGCTTGCTCTGATACCAACTGTGATACCCCCAAATTTTCGAATGCGGGTTGGCCAGGCCCACTCCCGAATACCCGAGGATATCAAAACAAATTGATAATAAACGAACACAGAGTACAAAAGAATAAAGAAGAATAAATAAAATGCTGACAAGAAACTAAAATGATAATCTAATAATAAACCTCATAATATATTTCCATTAATTAATAAACTCTTCTGATACAACTGATCCTCCAAAATACAACTCTGGAATCCATACTGTGTGGACCCCTAGAAAATCCAAACTAAACAAATGACAGTAATCTAAAACAGGAAACTGAATCATAAAGGAACTCCTATGTAGCATCGGAAGAATGAAGTAGACTGATCTCCGCTCAGCACGAACAACCTTTACTCATGACGAACACCTGAAAAATAATGGTGGGTCAGGCCCACAAACAAGTTCTACTCTACTACAGTCTAAGCAGAGATCCGATACACGTATACATCCTAGTCAATCCAACAGTAACTAGTAGTCCGTATATATATATACACACTAAAGGAACCTCACTAGACTATAGGGTTGTCTCAACCTGAATAGTAGGCAACATGCAAAACGCACATATAGTGGGCATGAGTACCTAGACCTACCAGGGTACACAACTACACTATATCTAGTTACATATCCTTGACGATATACGCGCCCTAACCATTGATCCTGAGACTCAAGCTCATATCATGGCACCATACTTGTTCAGCTGACCTGACTTGAATATAAGTAGGACTTAACATTTTAGTTAATCCATTCCCTTATATAATAAATTAATCATTCATAAGTCATTCAACTTGTTCAGCTGACCTGACTTAAATATAAGTAGGACTTAACATTTTAGTTAATCCATTCCTTTATATAAAATAGGTAGGACTTAACTAATAAGTTAATCCATCCCTAGAATGCCACCGTCCCATACCGGTACATTAAACCACACAATCCAACAATTGATGTAACAATTAAGGAAATACATCAAACATTCCATAAATAACTATGATAAATATGATATCAAGTTATCACATAATAGGAATGACTTATTATTTCTTTAAACTTCCTATATCATATGTCCTACACAAACTGAATCTTATACATGATGATATTTTATTATACCGTTAAATAAGGATTCTCCATATCCAATTCATCCTACACATTTAATCTCAATTGCTAAAATATTTTAAAAGATTAAATCCATTCGTTTGTTTAAAACATTCAAATAGCAAGCATCATTATGATTGAGTCTATTTAAATTTATTAAAACCCAAACCTAATCCCAATTTAATGTTCAAGAATCTTAGGCATGTTTCTACGTTCCATCATTCCACAGGTATAAAAAAAATACATAATTTAAACATGTAAAAATTCACATAAGAAATCAAATCAAAATCATGCATTTTATCAATTCATAACACAAGAACAGATATGAACCAATTTCATAAAACCTATGTTCTAACCCAATTAAACATGCATAATTATTTAATCTTATGTGTTTAATAAATTCTGGAATTTCCTAGGCATGTACAGAAACACGAATCAAAGGGAAAGAGATAGAAGAAGAACTTGCCTTAAACTTTCGGATTGAAAGTTTAACTTCTTCTTCCTTGATCTTCTCTCTATAGGGTTTTTCTCCTCATTCCTTCCTTTTCCTCCTTCCCTCTCTAACACTATCTCTCCAGCATATATCACGTGAATATTTCTAACCCCCTTTTACAACCTATAGCTAGATATTTATAGGTTAAATAAAATAACCCTAACCCTTTTCCCAATCCAAGTCAACTAAAAAAAATGAAAATAAAAATATTAAAAAGGTAAGCAAAATATGTTACGTATATAATTTATGTATATGTTTATTAAATAAATAAATTATACACATTCCATTATTTATTAATGGATTATCCAATAATATTTAGGTTACCATAATATTATAAAGTAACTTAAAACATAACACGTATCAAATCTATGTATATTTTTATTATTTAAATAAATATATACATCAGATTAAATATTACTCCCCAAATTACCATAAAAGTAATTAATAAATTACTTTCTCTTTTATATATATATTAAAAAGGTAAGTAAAATATGTTACGTATATAATTTAAGTATATGTTTATTAAATAAATAAATTTTTATTCAATAATACTTAGGTTACCATAATATTATAAAGTAACTTAAAACATAACACGTATCAAATCTATGTATATTTTTATTATTTAAATATAAAACATATACATCAGATTAAATATTACTACCCAAGTTATCATAAAAATAATTAATAAATTACTTTTCTTTTTATATATGTATATAATATATATCTATATATATACATACATTATCCATGGGTAATAATCCATACACATCCAACCTCTATCCAAGTAGTCCATGGGGCCCAATTGGTTGGCCCATTACTACTAACCATAACCATAAAAGAAAAATAAAATAAAATAATAAAAGAAAAGAAAACATTTAATTCACAATTAAAACAAATAAATAAATACCGAGACTATCATTTTAAAATTAGAGGTATTACACTTATGTAGCAGGCAGAGTTTTACCAAGTAACTTCATTGCTAATACACGGGAGGGTGCATAGATACATAGGTTAAGTGCACAAAATCCCTTTTTACTATCAATACAGTGCAAAAAGATCTTGGTGCAAATAGGCTCTTGGAGACTTAAAATGATGATAATACTCTTACTTTAGTTGAATAAATTAATAACTATATATCCGGGCCATGTAAAATGATGATAATACCCTTAAAAAACCATTATATATTTTTATTTTTATTATACTTATCAGTTTTATTATATTTTTTATTATATTATCAAATATTGTATGCTTTTTATATATTATCAGATTATTATATTTTATTATATTATCAGTTTATTATATTATCATTTTATTATATTATATATATATTTTTATATTATCAACTTTATTATAATTTTTTTATTATATTATCAGATTCTATATATTTTTTTAATATATTTTTAGATTATTTTATTTTTATTATATTATCAGTTTATTATATTTTATGAATTTTTTATATTATCAGTTTTTATTATATATTTTTTATTTTTATTATACTTATCAATTTTATTATATTATCAGATTTTATGTATATTTTTTATATATTATCAGATTATTATATTTTTATTATATTATCACTTTATTATATTTTTTGTATTACAAGTTTTATTATATTTTTTACATATTATCAGATTATTATATTTTTTTATTATCAGTTTTTTATTATATTATCAGATTTTATTATATTGTCAGTTTTATTATAATTTTTATTATATTATCAGTTTTATATTTTTATTATTTATCAATTTTTATTATAATATGTAGATATGGAGAGAGAGAGGGAGAGAGAGAGAGAGAGAGGGGCGACCAAATGGGTGTTAGGGGGTTGTTATATGCACATATGGGTGAAGGGTAAAATAGGAATCAACAAGGTGAAATAGGGTTTTCATATTTATTTTTTGTCAAAAAGTGGTCAGAATGGCTTATTTGCACCTTTTTATTATTATTTTATTTTATGGACTAATATGCACATATTCAAAAAGTAGGGACTAGTTCTGCACAAATCCTATATATCAGAGGTTTTTTTGCACTTAACCTTAGATATATATATGGATATATGAATACAAGTCTCTGCGTGAAATTGAACAGAGAAGGAAACAATTTGGTGACAAACAACGCTGAGTCATGATTAATGAAAGGGTAAAATTGTCACTTAAAAAAATAATTTGTAACTTAAAAAAATAATTTGTAAGTTTTAATTTAATATTAAATAATAAGGTCAAATTTGTCATTTCTAAGTCCAATTAATGGCAGTCATGGGTTTGGGGGTAAAATGAAGAGTTTTGATAGTTGAGGACCTATTTAATTTTGGTGGGTTTTTTTTTTTTTCGCCAATTTGATTGTATAGGATAGTTTTGTGATTTTAGGGGTGTAGTGTATTTCACATAGTTTAGGGAGGTTTTTTTGGAAAAGAGAGGAAAGCTTATGGGGGTTTAGTTCACTTTACCCTATAATAATATTAAAATAACCTAATATTATGTTCAAGAACATTAAATCGGTACTTTTGATTTGAAAATCTGTATTAAATTTTTTTCAATTCCAAATCCAAGACATCTATTCAGTGCCGCTTTTAGCGTATTGCTTTTCTGTATGGGGTTCTCCCTAGGAATTACCACTTGCTTTCCATACCTACGGTTTCATAGTCAAAATATGGATCTACATCTTTTTGCATAGAAATGACATAGAGTTGAAAGAAAATTTTACTTTAGACAGAAGCTCTAAAATGTGAATCCTAAAACAGTCTAGCTGAATGAAATATAAAGTGAAAATAAGACACCTGATACCATAAAATACTCTTGCATTTTATTTTACACACAGGCGGCTTTGAGAAACGAACACATACTTTTGTTTTTTCTTTCCATGGCAAAAGAAACTTATTAATCAAAATTTTGAAATTACAATAAAGATTCACCACCTCAGCTAACCACATTGGCAAAAGATCATGGGCCAATAGATTGGCAACTCCAGGAATATATTCGATTGCTAATTGGCACTCAATACTCTGATATCCTCAGTAACAACAGCTGGAATACCTTCATTCAACAGCTTGAGCATCACCTTTAATTTAAATACAAAACCTCACCAACCCTTGTTGAGCAGCAACTGTCAAAGTCTGTTTCAGCACCAAAGCCTCAGCAGATGAAGCATCAGCCACATGAGTGAAAAAGAACACAGCTGCCTTGACAACACAACCATCCTCACCCCCTATCACATAACCGCCACCAGCCTCAGCAGTCCTAGCATTAAAGGCGGCATCAAAATTGCATTTTTAGACAACCCATTGGGGGAGGAAACCACTGGACCACTGGACATGGGTTATGATGGATAAAAGATTCAGATGAGGATGGATACCTTCCACGTGTCCGCGTAATAGTTGCATAAATCTTCGGGACTAAGTTTCTTTAGTTGATTACAAGTTTGGAGCAAGCTTTCCTTCGCAGTAGATTTTAGCAACGTGGGCACTTCTGGATCCTTTTGTTGGTCTGGGTAGGCTGGATTACATGTTTCTACAAAGAAAATTTATGAAATAGAGATCAAGCTTTTGTAATTAATATAAAAGGGGCAAGAAGTTTGAAGAAAAAAAAACAAAAAACAAAAACAAAATGGCAAGAACTTAAACCCTAATAAGTAGCTGCATTGCTCGTGGAATGAGTTCTAATTAAAAATTATCCCACCTCTATTGAGTAGTTGCATTGCTCATGGAATGAGTTCTCACTCCAGATGATCCCTACACTCGTACGTGGATCCAAGAATTTGGTGTGAAAAATAGAGTGGATAAAGCTGAGAGGCCCTGTTCAATGTTCATCAAGAAAAGAGACTGCACAGATGAGAGGCCCTGTTCATGCTATGCTTGCATCTACTACATGATTGAGTTTTTTTGAAAGTGGAATTCTATGAGTTATCAAGCTTGAAATGAAATAAAAATGAGAACATTCTGATTAGATTTCCAATAAGAGATTCTAACTGTGCCATGCTTCTCACAAACTTAATATAAAATTAATGTAAGATAAAGATAAAACATTACAAAAATATAGATGTCCAAATATGTATCTGTATTGACCATATTACATAAAAAATCAGCTGAAAGTTGAACAAGGTAAGAGAGCAACAACGAACAAGATGAAGAGTTTTAAGGTGGATATATAAAGAATTCAGATTACGAATGATACGTACCTTCTATGTGTAAGATGTACGTATTTGAACATTTGGGATGTGAGCAATCTTGCGCCAATCTTTACCCGTTTCCTTTTGGAATCTATCATTTAGTTCCTGTGAACAATATTCAATTTGCAGATGTTGTAACGCGGTGAGCCGACGCATCCCTTCGGGCAGTGTTTTCCATCTCGGGCAATTGGAAATGTAAAGTTGTTGAAGTAATGTGAGATTGCCTATCCACTCTGGTAAACTTCTCAAATTGTCACAATCTGAGATGAATAGAGATTGGAGAGTGGTAAGGCGCTGAAGCCCCGCAGGAAGAGACTTCAACTTTGGGATCGTGAAAATATCAAGAGATGTTAGGTTGTTAAGGCCTTGAAAATGCATGCCATAATCATCACCGTCTGACAAATCAAGCTCTTTGCAACAGTTGATCTCGAGAAACCGGAGGGTGGTGAGATGTCGCATCCCTCTGGACAGAGAGGTTAGTCTTCCACAATAACAAATCTTTAGTCTCCGTAGAGAAGTGAGGCGCTGGAATGCCACTTCTGGCAGAGTAACTAGATCCTCTATCTTCCCTATATACAGTTCCTCTAAGTTGGAAAGAGGAACAGGTGAAGCAGAACAAGATGGCGTTGCAACTGTCAGAGTAGTTGGTGTTGGCATCATCAGTAACTGCTGTTGTACTACCTTCTCGCTGACATTCCACAATTCTAGTTTTACAACAGTTGGTTGCAGAGGCATTGATGTTAGCCTAGGGCAGTCCGTGATCTCTGATTGAAGAAGACAAGGAAATGATGGTAGAAGTAGTTGCACTTCTTGATTGTTTGCTGTTGATTGTTTTTCATCTTCTGCTGCTGCTGCTTTACTCCTCCACCATCCCTTCAAATTAGGCATGTCCCAGAGTTCGAGACATTTCAGTGATGGAAAGAATGTTCTTGTTGTTGGCTCTCGTCTTCCTCCTCTTGATGATGACGATGGAAAAGAAGAAGAGATTAAGGACTCATCATCTAATTCTTTACCACCACCAGTACCAGTACTACTACAAGTACTGTAATTGTCATCTATGTACTCTATGGAAGTTAAACCACCAAGAATAAGAGCTCGGAGAGAAGGAAGCTGCTCAAATTTTGGAAGAAGTTTGCATCCATTACACTCAAATAAAGAAACATGAACAAGATTTGGGAGGAAGGACGACAATGATATCATCCATGTTGGTAATCTCACAACACCATACCCATATATTCTGAGCTCCTTCAGATTTGCATGTGGCCGGAGAGCTTCCAACACTAACACCTCCTCCTCTTCCTCCTCCTCCTCCTCCTCCTCCTCCTTTTTAGAGTTCCAAAAACTCAAACTCAGTGACTCGAGGTATTTCTTCCCCTTCAAGTTCGCTTCCTCTGCTTCTTCTTTTAATGTTGCCCATTCCACTGGTAGGTTAATTTTTAGCTCTCCCCTTAAATTGTTTAGATCTTTCAATTCCCTTAACCTGTTACATGGACCCACATTAAACTGTGTTAATGTTCGAAGAGAAGTCAGCTGGCCCATCCCACGCGGCATATCATCACTCACACGAATGCAACCATCAAATTCGAGATGTCTAAGGCTCACCATTTTTCTAATATCTCTTGGCAATTCTTTGAGATGCTCACAACGATTAAGTTTTAGGGTTTGCAAATTTTGCAACTTGGTAATGGAATTTGGCAGAGTCTTAATCTCACCATTGTAGGAAAGATCAAGATACCTCAGATGCCTCAGCTCACTTATGCCACTCGGCACTGTCTTCATCCCCAAGTTATGCATATCCAACACACGTAACCTTTTGAAAATTGAAACAATCATTTCACACACCGATTTTTCCAGTTTCATATATGTAGTGCTTGGCATTAAAAATGTTCTTATCTTGATATCTCTAAGCAAGTGAGTTGGAATTGTCCCTAAAAAATTTATACCCATAGACAAATCAAACGACATGTGACGAGTTCTTGAAGAAACATCTTTTGCATCCAAACTCACTATGGAACTCTCACTTCCCGCAACTAATTGCGCAAGGTCATGCATAAGATCATGCATTTTACAACTTATTACATTACCAAAATCATCTCTTTCATCATCTTGAAAAAAGGATCTCCTCAGTAAATCCATAAAGTATGAATCTCCAACATCCTCCATATCTTGACTTTTATCCGACAACTGAATAAATCCATGTGCCATCCACAATTGGATCAATTCTTGCTTATCAATTATATGATCTTTAGGATATAAGCGACAAAATGCAAAACATTGCTTTAGATACGAGGGAAGGTGATCATAGCTTAACTTCAACATTGGTTTAATTTCCGTCTCTTGAGCTATTTTTGCCATATCTTTATCTTTAAAATTAAACCACTCTTTCTCAGTATCTTTAGAGTATAATAGGCTTCCTAAAATCCTTATGGCTAGAGGAACTCCAGCACACTTCTCCGTAATTTCCTTCCCTATTTCCACTAGACATGGATTATCGGGCTCTTTTCCGTCTTTAAATGCCAGTTGCTTAAATAGAGACCAAGACTCTTCCCCAGACAAGCCTTTCAAAGTATACATTGAATTTGTCTTTGAAACAGTTGCAACTAATTCACTACGAGTTGTTATCAGAATCATACTTCCCTTTGTACCACCCATCAACAGACCTTGCAATCTTATCCATTGTTCCCCATCCTCATTCCACACATCATCCAACACAAGCAGATATTTTTTCCCCTCAATTTCTCTCCTAAGGTCATTTTGCACTCTATCCATCTGAAGACCCTCCGGTTTCTTACCGCTTGCACTTTCTACGACTTTTTCAACAATTTGTTTTACATCAAAGACATCAGAAACACACACCCACATCTTACGTTCAAAATGTTTACTGACCTCGTCATCATTGTATACCGACTTTGCAAGTTCAGTCTTTCCTATTCCCCCGATTCCAACAATTGCAACAACCGACACATTCTCTTGAACATTACAATTCATCAATGATTTTACAATTGCCTTTTTATCATCCTCCCTCCCAATAACTTTATCCACACACACAAAAGAATGACTTTCCCTGGAGATCTTAGTCTCAGATCCAATCTCTAGCGGTTGTTCAGTAAAGTGAAAACCATCCCTATCTGCTGAGATAGCATCTAGTCTCTCACGAATGGCCTTAATTTTATGACCTGTCTTGAGACTAAAAATAAGCTGATTTGAGCTTGAGAAAAAGATACGTACCTTCTTGACCCCTTTATTCTGAGTCATCACCTTCCGCCGCAAAGATTCTGTGGAGAAGTCATCCAGCAAGTCATCAGCATCATAAACGGCATCGTTGAGCTTTGCAAGCCAATCTCCAATCTCATGGTTTGTCGATTGCTGCTTCTCCGCATCAAGAAGTACAGCGTTGATTGTGGAAACCGTACCCCCCATCTTGCGAGCCTCATCTTTGACACTACACACCAATTCAATCTCTTTCAGAGCTGAAGAGCCCAACTTCTTCAGAATTTCAGTTACAATGCTAAAAGGAATAGCCTCTGCCATATTTTCTCTCTTTCTTTTCTGTGTTTACTCGAATGCTAGAAAAGCAAGTTGAAGTGGTACAAGGCTGCAAGTGGAAGAAAGCTTTTATAAAGAAGCACTGCTGCAAAAGAGAATGAAATACACAATTATTGAATAGGGAGCATTATAAATTACTCTGTCCCTCTCAAAATACGTCAATATCTTTCTATTTGGTATGTTCCAAAGTATATACCTCCTTCATAAGATGGATGTTTTACTTTTTATAACATTCTTAAATCACTTTTTTTGACATTTACTTTATTAAACAATCCATACTAATTTAAGAGTACTCTTTTGTCATTTAATAAAGATAAATTTAAAAATTTATTTTTCTCAATATAATAAAAAAATATTAAAAACCTACAATAAAAAAAAAAATTGAATTCCCCAAAACACCCAAAAATTTTGGAGTGGAGGGAGTAAAAATTGAATTATAAAATGATTGACGTTTTATAATAAACTACACAAGGCGACTTCAATAACTTCATTTCAAGGTGAAGCCGACTGCACTTTGATTTGCAATCCCTACATTTCCTGTTCATCAGCAATTTTGAGCTAACTTCAATCGACCATATCGCCTTCATTTCAAACCCAAATTGGAGCACAATTTCAAGGATTTTAAGCCATCTATTCAATGGTACCAATCCCATTCCCAAATTCCAATCAAAGAATAAGTTATACCCTTTTTAGTGCAGGTCGGTTAGAAAATTTTTTAAACTGAGAATGCGTAATTGTGAGAAATCATTACTTTAGTAGCTAGAATCTCTAGGGATGCCTTTAATTGGTTAAGATGACTTGAATTAACCTCATTCGACTTATTTAGAGTTAGTTCACCCTCCTTCCTTGTCTTGGAATGACAATTTTGTCTCGATTTAGCGTTTGGGCTTGGGTAAAAGCCCGATTCATATCATTTTCGGGTCATGACTCAGATCCTATGAATTTGAGTCACGACAGGAAAAGAGAATTAATGTCATTTGAACCTACGAGATTAAGATATGTTTAATGATGATGAAGAAGAGCAAAAATATAAGTTATAATCATAATCAATATTATTTTGATTTAATATTTATTTTTTGTTGCAGTTTGACATGTAAAAAATTAAAAAATTTAGTTATTTCTTTTTTCTTATTTGATACTCACACATTCATGTCTCTATTAAAGCTCAAACCCATGACTTCCTTTTAAGAAGTAAAAGTTTGGTAGTGCTGGGTCACTTACCGGTTGATAAAAATAAAAATATAAAAAAAATATATAAAAATGTATATTGAAGTTGGGAATGGGATTGGCAGCATTGAGAAATTGTTATTACTATTTTAATATTTGGTCATTTAAGAGCCAAAATAAATAAATAAATTAAATTCTAACTTATTTATACATTGTCAAACAAAAACTAAATAAAAAATTAGTGGTCCCGATTTGAAGAATCTAATAGGATTTATTATTATTATTTTTCATATAGTTTTAATTCACAGATGGGACTTCAAGCCATGCTTTTTTTTTTTTTTTGGAAGGTAAATAAACTTTATATAAAAAACTATGGAGCAATACAGAATACATGGACATAGCCCACGAAATGTAGACGGCCCAATAACAAAGAGACCAACAAAGAAAAACAAGAGTAACACCTCAGGGCCCAGCCCATCACCTAGTAAACACATTCCTAGTCTAGGTTTTGAAGACTATTCATGTCTAAGCCGTGACTCATTCCGGTGCAAGGGTAAAGGGCGAAAACTCAGTGCAGCGCCCTAACTCAAACCATCTGGTGGCTCTATCGACGGCCGGATGAACGAAGCTGGGAGATTCCATTCAAGCATCACCCGTCTTGTCGATGGTGAGTCCCGTACTTGTTTCGATAAAAGTTTATGCCTTATCATATCTGTAATTTTATTGAGGAGCGCTGATTGATTGCAACTTCGATTTTTAAAGGCTCTTTCATTTCTTTCTGTAATACCCCTGATTTCAAAAGGATAGTCCTGGTATTTAATTTATTGTTTAAATTGGATTTTATTTTTTTTATGTGCATTAGTTGATTTATTATTTAAATTATTCTTTAATTGCAGTTTATTCTTTATTTATTTTTATGTGTTTTAAGTGATTCGTTGCTTGCTTATTTGATTTAATTAATGGGTTTTATTAAATTAATTATTTATTAAGTATTTAATTTTTGAACAGGGTAATTATGTAATTCCCATTAACTAGGGTTTTAGATACGTTTTAGTTAGAGTTTTTGGAGCCGTCTCATAAGCATCTAATATGTATCTAAACTGGGTTACTTTGTGGGCCGACGAAGTTAGGGCTCTGTGGATTAGGGTTTTAATCTTGCAATTATAAATACCTCAGTATATGTTAAACCTAGGGTTACACATTGTCGTAGCTTTTACACGGAAAAGTTTGCCAAATAGAGAGAGTTACAGAGGGAGTTTTGGTGAGAACAGAGCAGTTTGTGAGAATTTCGATTGGGGTTCCAAGGTCTAACCAAGGAGAAGGAAGGAGCAAAGGTTCTAGGAGGTTAGACAAGTTTCAGTGGATGTCAGAAAACTGAGACCAACGGCAGCAAGGGTTTGTTTGCAAACCTATTCAGGCAAGTTCTATCTTCCTTTTTCCCTTTGAGCCGTGTTCTGTGCACCTAGATATGCTCTAGGGTTTTAAGGAAATTAACAACTAAATCATTCATGTATGTTATACATTAAATTAATCATATGTATGCTTTGAATTATTTCTGTGATGATTTCTGCAATATCTGTTACAGTGCATGCAAGTTGGTTCAGTTTTATGTCCTTTAAGCATGAGGGTTTTTGTCGTAGTTTTTGTCTCTGTTTTTTAATGCAACTACTGTAAACTAAGTATGGAAAGACTACTGGAGTTATGTAAATCTCATAGGAAGGTTGCTATTTCTGTTTTAGATCTCTGTTACGGTAGTTGCAAATCTGGGTTCAGTGTTGGTTCAGTATGCCTATTAAAACTGTTGAAAGTCCAATCTCTGTAATTGATTCCAACGAACTGTAAAAAAACCATTGAGATGCTATTGGGTGTTAGTAGGACTATTATGATTTGTTTTAAAGCCAAATAGAAAGGCTGGTAGAGGTGGAAAGTGACCAGAAGCAAAGCAGAGAGTCGCAGGAATTGCAGAGGTTGGAGACGGCTCTTAGAAGGGGAGAGAACCGACTCCATGGAATGAGGGAGACGGCTCCCTCATCTTTTCTAGGTAAAGAGCCGGCTCCATGAAGTAATGGAGCAGGCTCAAGGCTCTAAAAAGAGCCTGCTCTTTCCAAAAATTGAGCAGGCTCTCTTGTAATTTCAATTTTTGATTTTTTTATTATTTACCTGCTACTGTTGGAGCGTTGGAATTGTTTTGAAACCTCTGGGAATTTACAGAGGGATTAGATAGTTTATTTTGGGGTTCATTAAGACCATAAATTGATTAAAATTGACCTCTAAGTCTATGGGACAAACAGTAGAAAATTAGTGAACTTTCTATGCAGTTGACGGCCGGAAGGTAATAAATTGTCTAGTTTTAATTTGACAGTTTAGGGTGCTAAAGCATGATTCTAAATTAAGTTTTAGATGTACGGAGAAGTATTTTAGTTAACAAATTAGACTTATGGATTAGTGTATGGTCCTATGTTAAAAGGATTAAAACAGGGTACAAGTATACAACTTAGTACGCTGTTACCAGATGGAAGGAACTAAATTGCTTAAAATAAGTTTAACAATTTATTGGACTATAATATGATTATAGAATGGATTTTAAATGCATGATAGAGTCAGTGCTATATTAGATTTGATCTATGCATATCTGAATGTTAATTGTTGAGTTATGAAATCACAATCTGCAACTATATGGTTTAATGCTTGAATTTAATTGTTGAAACTTTAAATGTTTTCCTGCAATTACTTGGATATTGGTTTTGGATTATATATATGTGGAATTTTAATTGCTGAATTAATAGATTCTGTCAATTACATGGTTGTGGAGGATGGTATGAACCGGTATGGGACGGTGTCATACTAGGGATGGTTTAGCTCAAAACGCATAAACCTAACCTATTGGATTTAAGGGAAGGATTGTAAAATATTAAATCCTAAACCTTGTTTAGTCAGATCGACTGATTAAGTTGAAAGACTATCTGGATTAATTGTGTTTGTGTGTAGTTGGATCGACTGATTAAGTTGAATGACTACCTGGATTAAATGTTGGTTGTGTTTAAGTCAGATCGACTGATTAAGTTGAATGACTAAACTGGATTAAAATTCTTATGTCAATTCAATAAACAATAAAATGGCATACCTTGGGTTAGACGGACTTTATATATATGTTATGGCACCACGATATGGGCATGAGTCTCAGAGTCGTTGGTTAGGGAGCGTATATGCATTGGGATGCATAGCTGGATATGATGGTTGAGGTGTACCTGGTTAGGTCTAGGTATTCATGCCCACCTTTGGGTGCGTTTTTGCATGTTGCCTTCTACTCAGGTTGAGACCCCATTATAGTCCAGTGAAGGTCCTCTAGTGTGGATATATTTATGTATGGACTAGATAGATATTGTGAGGTATTTAGGTGTATCTGTGTATCGGGTCACTATATGGATTGCAGTTAGATTAGAACTTGTTCGTGGGCCTGACCCACTCTTATTTTTCAGGTATCGGACGGTTCCAGTCTTAGGCTTGATCGTGCTGTGCAGGGATTATCATTCATTCCACCGACGACGTAGGATGTCCTTCCATATTTTAGTATTTGGTTTTATGTCAGTTGTTTACGTTTCAGTTGAGATTTTTATTTAGGGGTCCACTAGATGGATTCCCGAGTTGTAATTCATGGAAGTTTTGGAAGTTGGATTTTATTAAGTTTTATCAGGCTATTGAGGATTTTATATTAGTATTCTGTCCAGCTTTTAATAGTTATTCTTATTTCATTTTTTCATCTGTGTTCGTTTTAAAATACTTTAATTATTTGATTTCCCTCGGGTTTGGGCCTGGGCCTGATCAACCCATGTCTCGGATCCGAGGGGTATCACACTTTCCATCCAGATCTTGTTGATGGTGGTTGAGAGCATGAGTTTGTTCACCGCATTTCGTAGATTCCGACCTACCCA